TACTGTACATAATATATTGCAAGTGTGGATGGATGACATCGTGGAAGGAATCACAGCTACTTTTAACCCACCAGTATCTTTGAAGTGCATTCTGTATGTCACAATTTCTACTCGTTTGTCCTAACGCTTACCCCTGGTCAGGGAACCCCGAACAGGTTGGGACAGCTGTGCAGCTCTCCTAAATCCTAGAGGAGACATTTTGTCTAATCTAATGGCAACATACCGTGAAAATCCTTATCCTGGTCTGCATACGTGTGTATGCATAATTTCAATGGAAAATGCAGCTTGTGTGCAGCCTGGACTGACTTCATAACACTTTAAAATATTTGCTGTCAGAGTTACTAAATGTCTTCACTGCACATCTGCTATTCCTGTCTGCTTGTCTGTCTCTTCAGATTTCTGTCTCTGTCTGCCTCGCTCTGTCATTATCTCTGCTTGTCAGTGTGTCATCCTATCTGGCCACATTTTGAAGCTTTTCTTTCTTGCCCTCCTGGTACTGTAGGTGCTAATAAAGAACAGTACATAGAACAGCTCCTGGTCATATCTTAAATAAAGACAACCCAAATGAAGAGGTGAGCAATGTGATTCCTAATCCAGAGTGAAAATATTTTTGACATTGGGCTTCTGCAGTAGATACGATTAGATAAGACACATATTCTGCTATTCTGGGCAAGTATATACAGCAGTTCTATTTCATATAGGCTTCACCCTCTAAGGCTATCGCTAGTGGGTTTATCCCTCGCGTGCACGTGCAACACTAAAGAGCTTCATGCCCACCAGCTGTGTGGCCATCACAGTCTCACCCTGTGTAGAAATAGCCGGGAGACCTGACATTCTTACTTTTCTTCAGCACTTTTAAGAGCTGCTTATGAACGAGAAGAAGGACTTCCTTGAAGAGGATGATTTCCTCAAGCCAGCTGAAGAGAGGAGGGCAGAATGACGGCAGCGTCATGAGAGTGTGCTGCGTCCGCCTTACAGGCTTCATCCAGCCCGGGGACCTCCATCCCCAGTGTGAGGCTCGTCTCGGGCCGGAACAAGCCGGCCGAGGACTCCCCCTCAGCGTCAGCTGCCTATATTGCGCTTGTCTCTCTCCCGAGGAGAGACACTGGTGAGCGGACAACTTTGCCGTGCAGGACGAGGAGGTGTGGCTTCCCACCTCCTCGCTAAATGACGCTCTGGGTTTTCTGCTTCCGGATGAGCAGAGTCGGATGAATGGTGGCGTCCTAAGGGAGCTCTCCGCCATCATCCAAAGGGCTGCCATCCACAAGCAGCCTTGTCATTGCTCAGGAGCTCGCTCCCCCGGATAAGATGGTTGGGGTTCCTCGCCCTTAGCCAGCTAGCTAAACCCTGTATGTCCACGTTCCCCCCCTATCAGACGCTACCAGGAGGACGCGGCAGCCGACCCCATGACCCTGAGGGCTCCTGTTTCCCATTACAAAGATGGAGGGATTCACGGACGTGGGCTTCCCTCCCGTGCCCCCCCTCGAGCCCACCCTCACCACCTTCTTCAGTGTGAAGCCCGGGCAGACAGTAGCCGGACGGCGTGTTGCCTTTGTGTCACAGCCAGTGTGGCTGTCACTCTGGGGTTTTCTGTGTTTTTAAAGCATTGGGAATCCCTCTAGCATCATAGCTGAATGCACTGGGGGAAGACCTTTAGTAATCTTTTGACCGCTAAGAGTAGGCGTAGTATATAAATAACAGAAAAGTCCAAGTAAAGAGGTGGATGGGTGGGTCAGAAACTGGACTTTCACCAAGGAAAGTTTGTTTCCTGTGCGGACAATAAACGGCAACATTGATTCTTTCTTATATTTATTTTACGTAAGTAACGTAGTTGTTATTTCAACCCAACCCATGGTCTTTTCCTAAACCTAACCAAATTGTGACATTTCACAATGTTAACCACTTGTTTTATTTTGAAAGTCTAACCAGATGTTACATATGTATTATTGCTAACTAAGCCCTACATGTGCAAAGATTATGCTAAAATGTACCCAGGGCATTAAAAAGTGATGCCAAGGGGTCTTGACCAAGTGTCCATATTTGCTGAGTTGGAAGTGAGAATGTGTCGACCAAACAACTCATCAACTTCCTGGTCAAAATTCACCTGCTTTCCTGTTGTCACTTCCTGTGTCTCAGATCTCCTGTGCATCTGCCTGCTTCTCCACATCCTTTACCAACCACCACAGCCAAATACTATCAGACCACGCCATCTCAAGCCAGCCTGCCTCCTGCTCTCGTCAGCGCCACCAGCCACCACTTCCTTCAGCATGCTTGTTAATAAACACTGTTAACTTTTGCCTCTTCTGCTGGGTTCTGTGTCTTCTCTTGGGTCCACCAACACCAACACACTGAGTAAAGCCCCGAATAGTCAGCCCTCTACACTAAACTATCTTCCATCCATCGTCAACCGCTTCTCCTGCGTACAGGGTCGCGGGGGGCTGGAGCCAATCCCAGCTCACCACTAAACTATCTTGATTTATTTAACTGGCAGGATTGAGCATCCTGTCAAGGACAAATGTATCTACTTAAAAATATGTGTGTGTCTATAACTGCAAAGTGCAGAAAGCCTTTTAAAGGCCGGGAAGGTAAGTTTGAGAAACTCCCTTGTTCCTGAACACCCCCTCACTTCTGGGCTCCTTCCAAAGCCACGCCCCCAAAACACGTGAACACGCGTTGCCGACACCGCTGGAGGACGAGCAGAATGTGACGAGCAGAGAGGAGCGCAGTGCAGCGGCTCACATCAGGGGTAAGAAAACATCTAATTTATTGCCTTTTAGTACTCACTATCTAGCTAGCATGTTAATATTGGATAGGTTTAAAAAGACTGACTTTGATTCAGTGACCAGCTGGCCCCTTCCATGCACCACACATGGCTGACCTTCCTGAACCAGGACAGAATAACGGACAGTTCAGTCAGGCAGCAGACAGACAGTTTGTAGTGTGGCAGTGTGGAGCACTTGGTCACAGAGTCGTGATACTGAGTTTCTGTTTCTGGAAGCAACTGTTCTCCTGATCCACCAGGACAATACAGAGGTTTAATCCTAGCAGGGTGGAAGATGTAATGTCACTAACTGCTACACAAATAATTCCCTCCACTGTGTGGATGAATGTCTGTACATAGTTTTTGTTTCATTCCCAGGAGGTTAGAGACTGGATAATATTTTCTATCTTTTTTTAAATAAAACATTAAAAATGATAAATGCTTTGTCTTTACACTTGCAGCATAAACAATCAAGCAACTATATTTATGTCTTATGTCTGAAATAATGACATCCGAATGTGCTATAACACTTGTTTATTGTTATTATATACCACTAAAACTGCAACCAATAACACAAATAGATCATTTTTAAACATCATTAAAAATAAGTATATACAGGAAGAAAGACAAGGTGTGTCCAGAGGCATGTTGACTGATTATGAAGACAGTTCAGACTTTCCATGTAGCATCGTATCACTGCTGTGGAGATGATTAAATATATCACAGTTACCTCTCTGACATTATTACCACATTTCAAAACCAACCATATTACTTTTTGATTTATATTTTGCTGTATCTAGCAACACAGTTGGGGCAGGAACACCTGACTGAACCCCATGTTGACGGGGATCATCAGGTCTCCTGGTTCTGCTTCTAGGCAGCTCCTCAGTAGCAGACAACCGTTGGAGGAGGATGGCGATGAAACTGTAGTCCTTCTCCACCTTCAGTGGACACGGTGGTTGTAATCCAGGCCAGCCAGCAGGGTCCGATCAGCATATACTGGTGGGAAGCACAGGGTGTTGGAAGACTCCAAATCTACAGGTGACCTGAGGGCACCGGAGAAATAAAACATACAGTATGTTTTACTACTGGTAAAATAAATAATGGCACAACAGCACTAATTACAGTAAAAGATTTTTCACACAGTAGGTTTAGCTATATACAATGTCAAACTATGTAATAAGTAGTAATAAGTAATAGCTTATAGACCAGAAACGCAGATACTTTAGCCAGCGTTGTTTATGTACACTAACATTGAAATGTCTCTCATTAACTACAAAAGCGTACAGCTACATCACCACATTTGTAAAAGAGTAACATTCAGTCAAACAACGCTTACAGACACAATAATATTAAACACACAAACAGATTAGATACAAGGTAAAGATATGTGTAAACACAGTATAACAATAACCCTAGGTGGTGAATAACTAATCCGGCGCAGTCTACATCTACATTGTCTTACCTAATGTCAGCGTGTTTTCCAACTCAGCTGCAGCTCCAGATAATTCATCATCTCTACTCTGGCTTGCTACACCAGCCGGCACTGGTAGCTACCCTTAGCTGAATGCTAAGTATGTAGCTACATTGGCTAGCGATGAAAGTAACAAATTACCAGATTACCTGTCCCGCCAAAATAAAGCGAACACAGTGTAACTTTTCAGTCCCTTGGGGTCCCTCAGTTGTCACCATCGTTGAAAAGCCACGCAGATTATGTCTGGTCTGACCGCTTCGTGTCGTCAGTTCTGAGAGAGCTGACCGGGTGCGCACATGTGGGCAACTCCTGTAGCAGCCCCAGCCAATCATTGCAGTCCGGATGGAACGAGTGTCTGTGTTTACTGCAGCCCTGAGAGGACTACAGACTCCTGGTTTTTATACTCACTTTTTCAGACCACCTAACTTTTTAATATGCATTGGTGTATAAAGACAGTTTCAACAAATATGACAAAAAGTGTTTTGGAAACTACTTGCCCACCCTGCCTTTAAGCTCACAAATAATAATACTCGTAATGCTGCTTACTTTTCACCTCTAATACCCAAACAGTAACATTTCCATGTTTACTATGTCACCAATGGTTTTCATGTTTTAAGTTCAGATCCTTGCAGAAACTGAAAGCACTGTAAGTGGATACCTGTAGATGACTATATATTTTAGATTTTGTTTGATGAAACAAGGTTTATCTTAAACACATTTGTGTACAACGTAACCTCATTTACTGACAGTATCTCTGTTACATACCATGGTGGTTTCAGCAATGGAGCCAAAGCTGTTGATGAAAATGTTACAGGAAACATTGACTGGAGGACCTGCAGAGTGAAAGATAGAATGATTACAATAGATGCATTTATGATATAGGTTCAAGGTTAACTTATTTAGTTATTTAACACATGGTTCTCCAATGAAATGCCCCTTTGTAATACACACACAGGACACTAGAACTGTTCACCTGCTCCACCTCAGCTCCACTGATGTAGACGTTGTGTGTATTTGTGTCCATTTTCCTACAATCAACGATCAGCACCTTGGTTTTGCTGGCGTTGAGCAGTAGCTTGTTCTCTGTGCACCACTCTTCTTGACTGACGATTTCTTCCTAATGTGAACTGTCAGTCTGTACTGCCTTCGGTCTGTTTGTGATGAAGTCAAATATCCATTTGCAGAGTGTAGGACTCAACTCTAGAGTGCTAGGTTTGCCATCTGTTTTAATGGGGGAGATGTTTTTAATGCTGAGCTGAATTATTTGAGTTATTTTCAAGATGTGTGGCCAGTTCTCTGTAAAGATGAGGACACAACAGTCTCTAGATCAGCGGTCGGCAAGATAGCTGAAATAGATCTCAGTCACGACAGCAACAGTTTCTCACATAATCACTTCCTCTTAAGTGATTGCGCCTACAGAATAAAAGCACGAACGCCTGAGTCTTCTTTCATCCATTTTGTTTTCCTGCAACCGGCCAGGAGCAGGCTGGGTAGTATAGACTTGGATTCAAGCTGGGTTACCTTAGCTCTTATCCCGGCTCTCTTACCCCTGTTGCTGGAGACATGTGAACCAGGTGTAGTGGCTGGGCGGTCGTAAGATGTTGTGGGCTGTGATCTTCTCTAGGTCTGCGGCACTTAATCCAATTCCTGTGCTTCGTTTTCCAATTTTGGTGAGGGTATTTCTGTCATAGGTAATACGTGCTTCTATAGATAGTACATGCTTCAGTAATAAAGGGAAAAAAACAACAACTATAAACAAAAATGTAGTGAAATTTGAAGGAGCTCTTCAGTATCTTCTGTCTTTGAAGGTGTTTTGGGCTGAGAGCTTCACCTGTGACAACACAGTTAGCTGCAAGGGATGTTAGCACAAGTTTCTCACTGTCGAGCATCCCTCCGGCAATATGAGAAATGTATACTTACTGTACTGTCTTACATATTGTGTCCCCACACTAAGCTACCATTTATCGCCAGGAACATGTTCAAATGTTTGTTTTCAATGATATAATAGTGATTTACTGGATGTGTTTTATATTAAATGTGTTTGTTGGTTATCTGTAAATCCTATTACAAAGGACCTGCTCTAAATAGGAAAAGTGCAATGAGATAACTTATGTTATGAATTGGCACCATGTAAATAAAATTATATTTTATAATTATAATAATGTAAAGACACTTTTGTGTAAAGCCCCCTCAGAAATGTTGACAATGCTTGCCATGATTGCTAAACAGCACGATAAAGGAGTATGGTTAAAGAACAATCAAGGAGGGGAACTGAACTGGAGCGTAATAAGAACAGTTACATTTGGATTTCTTTTTGACTGGCTAACCTCAAATGTCCAGTTTGTTAAGTACCTGATTGGAAATGTGCCTGACAAATTCAACACGTTGCTTTGTCTGTTGTCACCTAGGATATGGTAAAAGTTTAAGCTCAAGATCAAGTGAAGTTCCACAATAAAAGGTTTTCATGTTCCCATAAAACGTTTGACATTTGGGAAACAGTGTGCGTCCACGCTGACTGCGTTAGAAGATCACAGCTGTGGGGACTGGTCCAAAATCATCATCTTGCTGTTACACAATCTATCCATGTGATTGTGAAAAAGTGCCTCACAGGGGAAGTTCACTTCCAGACAAACGTATAACTAGGTAGTTGCATACCTTTAAAGTTTGGCCTTATCCTGGCATCATATCCAGATGTCCTCCCCATCAGCTTGTCCAGAAAATCAGAGGGAGACATTGGGACCTGTTGTGTCCTCGCAGCACTGTCCACCTCCTTACACTGACCCACACTGTCATAGAGACAAAACACAGGCAACACAATAAATCATCTGTGACATTTTCACTGCAGGACGTGAATTGTGCAGCTCTCCTGGTCAACCGATGTAAAGCACCACAGTGAGTCAGTTTACTTACTGTTTATTACAGCCTGGTGTGAGGGTTTTATTTTTGGTTCCTCTCTTTTGGGCTGTGTTTTGTTTGTCTGTTTGTTCTCTCTCTCTCTCTCTCTCTCTCTCTCTCTCTCTCTCTCTCTCTCTCTCTCTCTCTCTCTCTCTCTCTCTCTCTCTCTCTCTCTGGGAGCAGTCAGAGGGGTGGCATTAATTCTCTGGTTGATACGCCTGCTGCCCGTTAAAGAATCTACACACCTCATCCTGCTGCTCTGAGGCCCTAATTATACCCCGGTTTCACTTTCAGTCTCCGCTGGAACGTTGAGTCTCATATTTAATCTAATATTGAGTCTAATATTAAACAAACAAGCAGCAGTCAATACAGAGCCTAATAGAGTTCGGTCACAACTGTATAGCGCACCAAAGTGGCTGATGGTGCAGCGTAGTTCATCAGGAAAACATGTTAATTTAAGTCTGTTTATCTTTTTAATGTAAATAATAGCACTAATTACAAAGAAAAATACATTATTTGTGATTCAAAATAAATGACTTAGTGACCCCCACAGATGCAGGATTTTACTGCTTCCATTGGAGCTCAGACCCTCCTCCACTTAACTCGCTTCTGGGTTTCTGGCCAGTGATCCTGACAAGTACAGTTTGAAGAGTGACATGCCGGGGAGAGGGGGGTGACATGCAGCATGCAGCAAAGGGCCACGGATCGGACTCAAACCTGGGCCTCAGCCTTAGTACATGGCAGCCATTCAAGATATGTGGCACTGTTTCAGTAATCTGTTCTGTGGTGTGATGCAGACAGTCAGGGACCTGAATTGTAGGGAACCAGACAGAGAGGTTGAGTCTGGTTGGAAGAAATTGTAATCTGGCTTTTATTGTGATTCTGACAATGCCCTCATTGAGTGCAGTGTTCTCAAGACTTGTGATCAGCAGAGGAAAGACATGCGAGTTTTCCCTGAAGTTTCAGTCCAGTGTTGTTGTTTGTGTTGACGGACACACACACACACACACACACACACACACACACACGCGCGTTCATTATGAATCCTCCATGCACGCCAAAGTTAGTCACGGAGTTCCACAAGGTTCTGTGCTGGGACCAATCCTGTTCACTTTATAGATGCTTCCTTTATGTAAGTTATTCTTGAACAAAGTCAAATTGTAAATACTAGCCTAGTTTCCAATTGCTTAAGAGAAGATAAGATATAACTTTGGGTGCTGATGGGTTCAATTCCCCACTGTGACACATCCACCAATGTGTCCCTGAGCAAGACACTTAACCCTTAGCTGCTCCAGAGGCGTGCGACCTCTGACATATATAGCAATTGTAAGACGCTTTGGACAAAACTGTCAGCTAAACGAATAAATGTGGGAGATTTTGGTTGACATAGCAGCACTAAGGAATATAAAAGAACAGATGCAGTATTGTAGAAGTATTAACACACTATTTACACTATACAAGAAATAATAATCATTTACAACCAGACAGATATAATATATAATAATGTTTTATTGAAAATAAGTTGAATTATTTGTAATCCAGTTATTGAAATCATTGTAAATACTAGTTCTGCATTGCTTTATGAATATTTAAATATTAAGAAGAGCAGTTACCTCATATGTCTTCATCATATTTTGTGATATTATAACATCAGCATGTAGTTTGTTTCTAACTGTAAAAACAATACATTTGATTTTATTTTGCTCAATATGAAATGACAATGACACGATACAGACATAGTATGTTTTTTAAATGTACTGTTTGGAATAATTCTCTTCCACTGAATATATTAGTGGCTCTTAAAAGAGCCTTTGTTTTGAATTGACGCTGTTGATAGGTTGAGGAGATATTGGGTCATCAGAGGGATGGTGGAAGGACATTAAGACTATTAACTGCATGTTGCCAGGACACTTCACCTGCAGAGTGAACGCCTTTCTTACAGCCAGTGCTTCTCTTGACTCAGGGCATGTCACCTTTACCACGACTTCAGCAACGTCAGGTGACGCTCCAAGGATTCTTCTGTACAGTCACCGCTGTAAAGCCAGGATGCCGATGGAACACTCATCGAAGATCTTCTACTCAGGTGATAAGTTGCGCCTAGGGAATGGCCTCATCCTGCCACTCACCAAGTGAAATGCTTAGTCTCCTACAAAAACATAGGGGTTGGCACCTTCAGCTTCTGGAAGAGGTGCACCTGATTAGGTCCAGGGCATCATGGCGGAGGGATTTATTTGCCAGACCAGCTTTATGGAAATGCTGACTTCATTTTCCAGCAGGACTTGGCACCTGCCCGCACTGCCAAAAGTACCAAAACCTGGTTCAGTGACCATGGGATTACTGTGCTTGATTGGCCAGCAAACTCGCCTGGCCTGAACCCCACAGAGAATCTATGGGGCATTGCCAAGAGAAAGATGAAAGACATGAGAGGTGAGCAATGCAGAAGAGCTGAAGGCCGCCGTTGAAGCATCCTGGTCTTCCATAACACCTCAGCAGGGCCACAGGCTGACAGGATTTCAGCGATTTGTCAAATCAGCGATTTGACAGGACCAGTGGATTCCCTGTAGCTGGGGGTCATTGCTGTGATGCTAGCTAGGCCTGATGGTTGACAGCAGATTGTCAAACTTAGTGTCCTAATTTCCAGTCCATGAGTGACCATGGATGTATTATTAAACTGGATAAAGGGACCCAAAGATTGTACCTATTCAGTTGAAAAGTCATAATAATAAGAATCATAATTGATGTTGTTTGCTGTTTGAAATGTCCTGTAAACAGTTTTTACACATGTCTCTTTTACAGCAGTGCTTTTGGGTCAACAGAAAGGATTTTTCACTGCAATACTGGAAAAATTAGACGCAAAGGGGGGCTGCACACCCTCTCCAGGTCTTAATATACATCCAAAAAGTGAGTCAACATGTCTGTAGAGCATCAGACATTACTGCTATATAAAAGGGGAAAATATCTTAACAAGAGGGACTTGGTCAATTTTATGTACGAGTGTCCTCTGTCCTTCAGATGTAAGTAGACTGCAGAGTCTTGACCTGAGGAGTTGGCCCTTCTGTGTTGAGCCATGCGTTTGTGTAGTGGTTGTTTAGTCTCCCCAATATACAGGTCTGTGCATTCCTCACTGCATTGGACCGCATACACTAGATTGCTTTTCTTGTGTTTGGGTGTGCGGTCTTTGGGGTGGACCAGTATCTGTCTTAGTGTGTTCTTGGGTTTAAAAAACACAGGGATGTTGTGTTTGTTGAAAATCCTCCCGAGTTTCTCTGATTCTCCAGACACAGCTCAACACAGAAGGGCCAACTCCTCAGGTCAAGACTCTGCAGTCTACTTACATCTGAAGGACAGAGGACACTTGTTTGAGGACCACCAGGTGCACATTTTAGACAGAGAAGATGGATGGTTTGAAAGAGGTGTCAAGGAAGCATCTACACCAGGGTGGAGAAGCCGTCATTGAACAGGGGAGGGGGTCTACGCCACAACTCAACAAACGTAACCTATTCACCTCAGGTGACGATGCCAACGATGGTCGTTCAGTCTTGGCCACCGGTAGTCCTAACGACTGTAACGACTGTCGTCACAGCAACCGGGAACACTAACGAACCAGCGGTATCGATGATCCTGGCAAACGACCCCACTGAGGTTCAATGACCATGGGATTACTGTGCTTGATTGTGCTTGATAACCTCAGTGGGGTCGTTTGCCAGGATCATCATAGCTGAAGAAGTCCTTTGGATGAGGGACGAAACGTCTTCTAGTATCTTCAACTAAGTCCAGTTGCCCTTGACTTTAACTTTCGTTGTATAACTATGACCTGGATGACTGAGAATCTTCACAGACATAGTCAACTAATGCAATCTATTACAATTATTAGCCCAACCTTTTGGGTCAAAACCTGGACTTTCACCCAGGAGGCTGGTGTTTGTTTCCCGTGGGAAACAAAAGAGTTGAATCATTTTATTTATGTTCAACTCAAACCATGATCTTTTCTTAAACATACGTAGTTTTGATGGCTAAACCTAACCAAACTGCGACATTTCACAACATTAACCACCAGTTTAATTAAGTCTAACCGGACATTGCATATTTATTATCGCTAACTTAACCGCAGAGATCCACACGTGCAAAACCAACACTAAAGGGTACCCAGGGTGTTAAAAGGGGCCAAGGGGTCTTGACCAAGCATCCATACGTGACACCCCGGGATAAGAATAGGTTGGGTTAACAGTCACACTCAAGCAGAGTTGTCAGCTTAGAGCATCTTAAATCAGCTGTTAAGCTGCTTAGGTTGCTGTAGCGCTACCTCTCCCCATATTTTCTTCTGCTCTTTTCCCCTCTGCTGCAATTGCTTCTCCTCCTCTTCTTTCTGCGCCTTTTCTCTTCTATTCTCTCCTCTAAAACACGAAAACAATAGAAAGCAATGTAGAGCGACACAGCACAACATCCAATGCTTATCAATAATGGATGAGTTTTTAATGTAGAATGAATGTCTCTCACACACAAAGGGGAGAGTTGAATGTATTTAATGTATTTTTTTTCTATGCTGTTTTAATCCGCTGCTGCTAATTCTCCAAACTTCATTGTGAGACGGTAACGCAGTAATATCAGATTCACAAATCCCAGAAGATTAAGCATCAGCATTCATCTGAACATATAAAGAAGATATCACCTGTTCTCTGCAACTAAGATGCTGAAAAACCCGACCCTGGCTGGGAGAGGTTTGATTTGAAGAGTTGACAGAATTATTTATAACTAGCTCTCTGATTATGCAATGAAGCATCCCCATGAAGCCAACATGAAGAGACAGAGAGAAGAGGCCTTTTTCATCTGGCCATACCGAGTGTGCCTAGGAGACCTTGGTTTATCCCTTCCATTATGTAACACCCTATCT